TTTAAAATGGGTTTGCAATGTAAAAGGAGGGGCTGCGGTTTCCGGGCTAACATGCAGCACAAACCCAATTATGCTCCCCCCCACCCCTCACACCCAATTCTCTGGGATGATCACTTCACCCCTCCCCCCACCGCGTGGCTAACAGCAGGGAGCATTTCTGTTCAGCTGAGCAGGAATGGGCACCTCTGAATGTCCCCTTAATAAAATCACCCCATTTCAACCAGGTGACCGTGAATGATATCACTCTCCTGCGGATAACAAAGGGAGATAAGGAATGGATGTTGTCTGCATGCCAGCAAACACCGGGACCATACGCTGCCATGCTTTGTTATGCAAGGATTCCAGACTACGTGCTACTGGCCTGGCGTGGTAAAGTGTCCCACCATGGCGGACAGGATAAGGCAGCCCTCCCCAGAAACCTTTTGCAAAGGCTTTGGGAGTACATGAAGGAGAGCTTTCTGGAGATGTCCCTGGAGGATTTCGCTCCATCCCCATACACGTTAACAGACTTTTCCAGTGGCTGTACTGGCCGCGATTGCCAGGGCAAATTAATCAATAAACACGCTTGCTTTTAAACCATGTGTAATATTTACAAAGGTACACTCACCAGAGGTCCCTTGTGTGCCCTCAGGGTCTGGGAGCACGCCTTGGGTGAGTTCGGGTGTTACCGGTTCCAGGTCCAGGGTGATAAACATATCCTGGCTGTTGGGGAAACCGGTTTCTCCACTTCCTTGCTGTGAGCTATCTTCACTGTCTTCATCATCATCTTCCTCGTACCCCGAACCCGCTTCCCTGTTGCGTGATTCTCCATTGATGGAGTCAAAGCATACGGTTGGGGTAGTGGTGGCTGCATCCCCTAGCATGGCATGCAGCTCTGTGTAGAAGCGGCATGTTTGTGGCTCTGCCCCGGACCTTCCGTTTGCCTCTCTGGCTTTGTGGTAGGCTTGCCTTAGCTCCTTAATTTTCATGCGGCACTGCTGTGCGTCCCTGTTAAGGCCTCTGTCCTTCATGGCCTTTGAGACTTTGCAATATTTTGCCATTTTGTTTACTGCTACGGAGTTCAGCTAGCACTGATTCATCTCCCCATATGGCGAGCAGATCCCGTACCTCCCGTTCTGTCCACGCTGGAGCTCTTTTGCGATCCTGGGACTCCATCATGGTTACCTGTGCTGATGAGCTCTGCGTGGTCACCTGTGCTCTCCACGCTGGGCAAACAGGAAATGAAATTCAAAAGTTCGCGGGGCTTTTCCTGTCTACCTGGTCAGTGCATCTGAGTTGAGAGTGCTGTCCAGAGCGTTCACAATGAAGCACTGTGGCATAGCTCCCGGAGGCCAATAACGTCGAATTCCATCCACACTACCCCAAATCCGACCCACAAAGGCCGATTTTAGCGCTAATCCCCTCGTCGGAGGTGGAGTAAAGAAACCGGTTTAAAGGGTCCTTTAAGTCGAAAAAAAGGGCTTCGTCGTGTGGACATGCCCAGGCTTAATTCGATTTAACGCTGCTAAATTCGACCTAAACTCGTAGTGTAGACCAGGCCTGAACTAAGTGTTCAAAAGCTGGCATGAGCACAAATCTTTATAAGCTTATTCTAGGGTGCAAATGCAATTTAGGAACATACTTTACACAGATGAGGCTGAAGGACACGGAAAATCAGTGAAATTTGGAGTCAGCTATGGAAAGGTAATGCAGAGCTTTTTCCCATTTGGGCACAACACAGAGCATGCATCTGCCTAACTTTTTTTAGAGTAACTTTTAAGCCTACTTGTTTGTCCTCTTCTATTTTGCAGAGCCCTAGCATCTTGGAGGTTGTGCTCTTTTGGCTTTCCCCATAGTTCTGTCCCAACAAAGATGCACCAGGCCTCCATGTCAGATTCCAGAGGATGTTCCTAATTGTTACTTTCTGCTTTTAAACATCTTCTTTAACCCAGGCTAGCCCAGCTATGTAGGAAAGGTTCTTTCTGGCAAAGATAAAGATGGGACTTCTAGTTTCTTTAAAGGTATGTAATTGGCTCTAGAAGGCTAACAGAAATGTTCCCAGAAGCTACAGGCCAAACAAAACTGTGCCTGGAATATATACACATTTACTTATTTTGACATGTGATGTTGACAATGTGTGTTTTAAAGGTCATCAAGTTTTAACTTTGAACCTCAAACTCCGTTTTTAAATAATTATTTTCCATCCCATCATGACACCCCTCAATTTCCCACTGCGAAAATTTAAATTGATAAAAATTAAAAAGTTAAAAAAAAAAACTGATTTTATAAATTATATTAAAAAAAACCCTGAATTCTGCCAAACCTACTTATCACACATGCTTTATGGGTCTTCATCTTCAAGTAATATATCAGTAAAATGGTAGGGCGTCCCCCGGAAGCAGCATGCACCCACTTTGCCCAACAGCTGTGGAAAATGGGAAACGGCTACTGCATTCTGGGCTCCTGCAGCTAAAGAAGCGAGTCCAAGATTTATATATGGCTTCTTTGGATGAGGGAAGAAGGAGCTGTGAAATCAAGAGAAGAAGCTGAGACACTGAAAAGAAGGAGAGTGCACATTGCTTGTATCCAAAAGACAAAATGGAGAGGGTCGAAAGGAAGAGTGACCAGCTAATAAAAGTTAGAATAAATATTTAATGTTATACGTGGATATGCGCCACAGGTTGGTTTTACGATTGAGGAGAAGGAGGAATTCCAGATCAAGCTGGACCAAATAAGTGAAATACCACAAGCTAAGTACTTGATTATCGGAGCAGATCTCAACAGACATGGGGGAGAACATAGAGAAGGGTATGACAACTGTCACAGAGGACAAGGCTTTGGAACCACAAATGAGGTGAGGATACCTTAGATTTAGCCAGAATCCATGGCCTGATTGTCAAGAGAGGGGGAGACTTAATTACATACAAAAGCGGTGCCAACAAATATCAGATCAATCACTTCCTGACCAGAGGAAAAAATCTAAAATAAAAAAAATAAAAAAAAGATTAAGTGATCAAGCTTTACAAGCTGGTAAAGAAAACATCAAAAACAGTGGATGCAGAAGTTAAAGGTCAGGCATCGAAAGCCTTATACACAGAACTACTAACAAAGGAAGTGGAAAAAGGATTAGCCAAGATTAAGCAAAGGTCTTAAACATAGGACTTGGGAGCCATGAAGCAAGTCAAAAATAAAATCAGAGTACTGGTGGAAGATGGTGAAATCGTTAGGAGGTGACAGCGGTTTTATGTGAAACTACTCAATGAAAAGAATACAAAAAACCTGTTGAGGGAAGTATGAGCAAGCAACAACCTCTCAAGACCTATTACCATGGTGGAGACTCAGACATCGCGACAATGAAATATGGGAAGGCAGTGGGACTGGACAGTGTATCCACTGAAGCACTTAAAGCATTTGGTCGTGAGGGAGTTGTGGTGATGAACTTTTTCAACTTAATTCTCCATACTAGAAAAATACCTGATCAGTAGAGGAAGAGCACATTGTTCCCTGTCTTCAAGCCTAAGGGAGATATGCAAGAATGTAGTAATTACTGACCCACCAAGATAATGAGTCACATGATTAAATGGCTGGAAAGAATTATTGGGAGGGACTGGAGCATAAAGTGACAACCAATTTGGGTTTATGCCAGGAAGGTAAATGATGGATGCAGTGTTTGCAGCCCAAATATTGCAGGAGCTATAGAGGAAGAAAAGCAAGGAATTGCACTTAATGCTTGTGGATTTAGAGCAGGGGTAGGTAACCTATGGCACGTGTGCCGAAGGCGGCACGTGAGCTGATTTTCAGTGGCACTCACACTACCCGGGTCCTGGCCACTGGTCCGGGGA